GATATAGAGGACTCCGGTTGTTGATCGCCTCCACTGATGATACAGTGTAGTTCCTTGTACACCCGATGCGTATGCCGCTCGAGACCCCCGCGCACGTGACCCTTGCTGCTAGTTCACCACAGAGACGCCCGCTACTGCCACAGGGGTGGTAACGTGTGTATACGACGTGACCTCTCAGCACCTTGGTGTAGATGACCAAGTTTGCGCGTCTGCTTGTGTTGCCGTTGACCGATGACGGCGTCGCAATCTCCAGAAATCTCCGAAACCAGGTTCTCTCGTTGTCCACGGATGAAGGTTGATGTCCCGAGAAGAGGTTGCCTTGATCTTCCCGTGATGTTCGTAGCTCGTAGTGTGTGCCTTAGCCGAAGCTCATAACCTGTCAGCGATATTCGCTGTGCACTAGCAGCAGTACGATGCTGCAGATGCCAGGAGGCTGTGTAGCCTACCTCAGAGGTTCACACTCTGTGCGTCTCCAACCGCGAGAGACTTGGAATGGAAATATGAAGATGCTTTTATTAGTTGCTGACTCCCGAGTCAGATGTTGCTGGTACTGAAGAGGAGTGAGAGGAGTGGGCGAGCTTAGGGCTGCACCACTCTTCTCGAATACCGGACAAATAAGTCAATCACACGAAAGATCCAGAATGCTTCCAGAATGATTTCTGGAAGCCCTCCTACGTTCTAGAAGAGTATCAACTGCAACCTAGATCTAGAACGCTTCCAGAAGCTTGCAGAAGGAACCAGAAGTTTCCAGAAAGACTTCCAGAAGCTACAGAAGGAACCAGAAGTTTCCAGAAGGCTTCCAGAAGCTACACACGTTCTACATAGATGTCCCGGTCAACCTCGACCTAGCATGCTTCCGGAATATTTCTAGAACAAGAGAATACATGCCAAGGAGAGATGGACTCTTTTCTACTGCTACGCAGACTAGTTGCTGCAATCGTATTCAAAGGTCAAACCGTGTCCGACTACTGGTGGTCTCGACGCACGATTTTCCTGACAGGTTCAATCGGTCACTTCATCGCCACTGAAGCGACAGACTGTCTAGCTCAGTGTCTTGTGGTTCCTTGTTGTTGAGCTCGTGGCTGTTCGTTATTGTCTACTTCCACTTACCCGAACGTCGAGTAGGCTGAGCGTGTCGAAGACCAGCTGCTTTTTGATCCTGTAGTCCATCCCCGTCTCAGTCCTGACCGAACATGCAACGTTTGTATTTTCGGGGATGAGTAGTGAGTGGTTAGTACACCCATTGTGGCGCGCCGTCGTCACCTTCACACCACGGGACGGGGGTGGGGGCGCCGGCGTCAATGGACAACTATCCACCACACGGAATATCATCGGAATCTCAACGTTCCTACCCCCGAAACACTGGACCAACCGTCACCTGAACGAAGGCAAATGATTGATCTCGATTATCCATGGGTCAAGCTCGTCGTCCACCATCAGATCCACCCCGACGATAGTGAAGCAGTTCGACCGCGGGGGCGGCGGGGTAGGGGTGGCAGCCTTTCCTTTCGACGCCGCCACCGACGCGAAGCCTCTGGGCGTTGGGTTGGCGGCGTTGTACTCTCGACGCAGCATCGGGCCAACCGTCAGGAACGTTTTGACGCACGCGTCGGCTAGCCGCGCCCACAGGGCCTGTGTCATAGTTGTGGTTAGTATGCGCAGGCGGTTTTACTATGTTTCGACGAGATGACGGATATGTGAGACGCCCCCGATCACTGCAGTCAGGTATAAGGCTTTGAGCCACCTCGTCCGCCACTCACGCTTGGCGGTCCTCTGTACCTAACCCTCGCTCTCGAACTGAGTCAGCCGAACCACGGGGAGGAACTCAACGCCATGCTCCTTCGTTGCTACATGTGCATACTACGTGCGTGACATACGGCCAACACACCTCACCGCACCACTTTTCTGAATCTTCTACGTGGGTCACGTTCTACTTCCAATCACATACCACCAGTGACAGCAAGGCACCACAGAGGCTCCCCGTCTTTTCTGTGGAACATCTACACCGGGGGCACGTGGCATGCCAATACGCACCGCGCTGTCGTGGCCTTGCTCATCCAGCCACTTCTTGAACCACTTGACAGACCGCTTGAATCCGCTCTCTCCCATGTCATCGCTCGTGAAGTTAGAGCTAGTCTGTTCGGTGCGGCAGACCGTTTATTCGTGGCCGGGCGCATGGATTAGTTGGTTCGGTCGACCATCGAGAGAGAGAGAGTTAGCGGTTTCGATGGAGAATGCGTGATTGGTGACGGGTAGAAGGTGTAGCAACATTTCAAGTCGAGAAAAAAATGCGTCACTTTCCGTTTTCGTATGTCATTTCAGTACCCGTGTTGGGTTTCACGATTCAGTTTTCATAGTGCTGCAGGCGACATTGAGCCGCGGGTTTGTAGAGCGAACTGCCTGGCGTGGATGGAAGCTTGATTACTCCCGCTGGTCTCCATCTTGGTCATATAGCGGTGCGCCGCCTAAAACACAGTATACGATCAGCCTTACGGCACACCAAGGTTCAACATATGCTTTCTACAGTATTGCGACTTGATCCAGGTCCTTATTGTTCTGGGTCAGCCTGCGGTAACGAAACGGGATCCTTCGCGCCGAAAACGTACGAAAAAGAAGTCCGGGTTTCAAGGCCAAAGAAGACGATGAGCAATACACAACATCGCCTCCAGTGGCGAGAGACAAGGGTTCACACCCACCTTGTTGACGCTATAGTTGGTGAGGTGCATGGTAGTCTTGTTGATGTTAATCTCCGTCGGGGCTTCGTATGCCTCGGTGCAGATGCGGACCTAAATATTGATACGTCGCCGGGGCCCCACCACGAGGTTACGAACACCTCAGGAACGATACAGGTAGCAGCGGTGCTTTTGTGACGAGTCGTCGTAGAGGTTGAGTGGGCGACCCTACAGGCTTTGAAGGCTGGCGGAAGGCGTGTTCGGCAGTGTTCGCTCGAAAACATTTTGAGACTATAAAAGGAGTCGTAGCACCTGCTCGAGAAAAGAGTCAAGTTCAACATGAACAAGTCATTCGTTTACCGCCCTCACGAATTCCATTCTCCGTCTTCTTGCAACCGATGACGACGACAACAATCACGGCAACTACCAACGATAACTCACGAGCCCGTCCTCAAAGAGGAATATGCGCATCGGGTTGACGCTCGTCACCAGCACGTACAGCCGCAGGTCGAACTTGTACCCGTCAATCAGCAATGGGTTCGTGAGGTAGCGCTGCGCGACAGACTTGCCCTGCAGCGCAGCAACCGAGCTCAGCTGCGGAAACGAAATGTACACAGCGATAGGTCAAGCAAATCATGTTTATTTGTTCTTGAGCGAGGCTTTGGACTAGTCACACTTCAAGGATGACAAGCAACATGTGAACGCGCATTTGTGTTTTTGGTGTCCGGGACAACAGGAAGGAATGGGCGCTGCTAGGTTTGGGAGCGGGGATGCATGACCAAAGAGGTCATTGTTTTTATAAGCATGTGAGAGAGACTAACGGCTGGCACGACACATATTCACGGTTGTTGCTCCTTCGTTCGGTTACTTTCGTTTCGCTTTCAGGTATCTAAATTTGCATCCTGCAGGAATCTGTGGCGTGTACGCGATGTTCGCCGCCACAAGCCGCTCAGCAGTACACACATGGGACTGGCCTCGACCACGCCACTTTGACAGATGTCAAGTGTTTCGATTTTCTTGGCGTGGTGTTGCTCTGACACCAACTTTGGCCATGGCCCTATCCCCTTTCCTCGGCCTCCCGTTACCACAACAATCATTCGCTCTCGCTGCCACAACGCACACCTGTTTCGTGAGGAAGATCCCCTTTCCCTGACACCCGGCATCCGGCTTGATTATGAAAGTCGACTTGCTGGTGCCCTTGGGGCCGAATTCCTCCCTGGCGATGCCGTACCGGGGAGAGGGGGGGGTTGCTATCGTCTTGCAACGGTATTCTACTCAAACACGCCCCCATACCCTCCAACACCTACATCAGGACCACACTGAACGGCAGCATGGATGAAACTATCATCGATGTCGACGTCAGCGACGACGACGACAACACCAGGAACAAACACCTTTCCAACAGCAAGCGAACGCGGGCGGCGCCGCTCTTTCACACCTGAACTCGTTTATTTCTGCCGGCAGCACCCACGTCTCGGGAAAAAACTTGTACTCCTTTGGGGCCTCGTGGTACATTCGCGACATGAGCATCGCGAGGCCCGCCTGAGACACAAAAACGTTGTAGTGATACATTTCATCGAGTTATGTCATCTGTATCCCGTTTCATGTTGAACCTCATGAGGAAATGTCACAGCATTGACAAATGGTCACCGGTTCCATATTTTGTCTCTCAGCCGAGGGGAACATGGCACCCCTCTGTTCCTAATGAGCGAATCAGATAATGGTTGAGGTAGGGTTCATGGTTTTGAGACTGTACCAGACATGGGGATCGACCAGGTCGGTAGAACAACCTTCTCGAGACTGCTTTGCAGTCAACCCGCCATATTCCAGGCGGTTGTTTTATACATATGTGCTTTGTTTTGTGTTCATGGCGGGACGTCGAATGAGTGTCCAGACACGAAACCGCTTTCAATCAAGCTTTAATGCTGGCCTCACATATGCCGGGGGCACACCTTGCCGGGGGGGATTAGGCGGGGGCACAAGCGACTCTTCGTACCCTCGCGTTGTCACGGACTACAGTGATGCCTAGTTGAGACTCTAAACGTTTGTCTCGGCGAAAACAATATGAGCAGTAGAAACGATGACGGCGACCACAACAACAACCGAAGCAGCAACAGCAGCTCTACCGCCAACAACAACAACAACAACAACAACAACAACAACAACAACAACAACAACAACAACAACAACAACAACAACAACAACATGACAACAGCAGCAGCAGCAGAAGCAGCAGCAACGACCGCAACAACAAATGCCAGCAGGTCCGCCGGCTCACTCACCTTGCGGGCGAAGAAGGAGAGCCCCGGGAGGTGGCTGTAGTACTGGAACGACTGAAGGCCCTGTAGGTACTCCTCGAAGTTGCCGTGGTCGTGCCACATGACGTTCCAGAGCTTGTTACACATGCCTTTGTGGGTGCACGTGTAGGAAGCGTCCGCCGTCTTGTTAGGGTTTGCCTCATCCGTTCTGTTGGAGAAGAAATGGCGTCGAGGGAAGATGGGGGTTAGGAACGGGATCTAGCTTTATTACACTTGTGCTTGCGGGGGTGCAGGCGGTGTGTGTGTGTGTGTGTTTTTCGCGATGAACATCCTCGGGCCTTGCTAATTGCGAGATGCGCGTGGCACGTTCATGGTGTTTCCTCATCTAGTGTTCCACCCCTCGTCACCACGGATACACACGTTTGTAACACACAAGTAGATCTTGAGGTAGTCCCGCTTTTTGGTGAATACAGTGGGGGGTTGCGGGGTCAGTTAGTTCCAAGCATCGTATCAGGCACACGCAGAGAAGTTGTGTGCAATTTCAAGATATTGGTGCGGGTGTTTTGATGGTTGTCTGTCAATCGAGGAGACGTCGCTCGAGAGACGTCATTTGAATGTCAAGCGTGCAGCACTGCCTGCCCCAAGCCTGGTTCGACTTACCGCGGCTTTTTGGTGAGAGGGTCACTGTGGCGGCTAAACTTCGTCTCGCACAGGCTCCACCCGAGCCTTAGGGCGCACTCTCGCACGACGGCATATTCGCACTGCACGATGTCCATAAACCAGAACATTTGGGTGATACAAACGGAATACACAGACAGAGAGGTGTAATGATACAGAAAAGAACAAACATAACGTTGTTCGCCGTTGTGAACGAACCACTAGTTTTGTTCCAAGTTTTAGATGAAAATAGACGGCACAGACTGCAAAATTAGTTCTCTTCGCGGATAAATTATCGTCTCGTAATCGGGGGGGTAGGGTCAGGTGAAGAGAGCGATTGGGAGGGATCCAAGGACTGAATTGAGGTAGACGAATGAGGCGGGGAAGGGTGTTCTTTGTACAACATAGGCAAGCAAAAAGACACACCACGCCCACCACATGAGCGTGTGAATCCCGCGCCCACAAACATAAACACCTCAAAAAACGAAGCAACCACGCCAGCGCCAGTCCTGATAGTACATTGGAAAAGATTGACACGATCAATTGCAAGTGGTTGGGGTTTCAGAAACCGAGCAGGGGACGGAGCGGGAGAGGCAAGGTGAGACCGGAGATTGGAACAAGGCCATGCGTGGGGGGGGTAGAATCAATGGTCTGGACGAGGACGTAATGCGTGCAGTACGAGACCATTTGACACGGCGGCACACAGGGTTGGCAGCATGATCACGGGAGGTAAACCCTGTGTCAGTCGGGTATAGAACCATCGAAGGACCGCTCAAGCGAGGTCTGATGGCTGCCAATAAGAGAGAGAGAGTAAACTGTCTGACAATGTACCCACGTTCCGCGACACCCCGGAAATTCACGTAGAAAGTGGGCCGCCACTCGATCACGACTCAAGCACACCGCTCACTTCCCCGCGTCTTATCTGCCCTTGATCGTCCACACAGTTGCACCATTTTCTTTCACGGCCGCGGCCATGGGATTGAAGGTCTCAACAAAATGTTTCGACACGGGCCCTACCCCCATTCGTTGACGCCCACTGCCCCCAGTAGGAGAAAAAAGTTCAGCACAGCAGCAGCAGCAGCAGCAGCAGCAGCAGCAGCAGCAGCAGCGACAACAACTCACGTGGCTCGCGTTCATGACGATTGGTCCAGGGCCCTTCGGTCGCCGGTTCAGGCCGCTCTCCGAGTCCCTCCTCTGCTCCCCGCCGGTCCCCTCCGCCTCTCCTTCCGCGCCACTCTCTACCACCACTGTTCCTTCTCTCTCTCCGTCACCCGACCCTGCCGTTTTCTCGCCCCCGCCGTCGCCGTTTCTGTCTGACCGTGGGTCTTCGGGAGCGGCGGCGGCATCCCCCAAGGTGGTACCGCCGTTCCGTTGCTTCCCTCTCGAAAGGCGAGAAGCGGAGGACTTCTGCAGACGAGACGACGGCTCGACGTCGCCTTTGTCACTGTTGTGGCTGCTGCGGCTAAGGTAAGGGTTCCTGGTCTCGACTCGAAGCGTGGCAGAGGGCGTCCTCTTCGGGGTCGGTGACACCTCGGTGTTGGTGGAGTCGTCGTCGTTGTCGTCGTGAACGTCGTCGTTTCGTGTCGACTCGGCTGCGATGCCTGCTTCATCTGATCTCCGTCTTCTCCGAGAGCAGGAAGGGGCTCGGCACTCGCTGTGGGAGGAGAGAGAGCGGCGGTGGCGCTTGTTCACCCCGGCGTCCGTGGTACCAGCGTCAAAACCATCACCATCGGTGGTACTAGGACGCGGTAGGTCTGCATTTCTTTGAAACCACTCGCCGTCGCCGTCGTCATCGTCTTCATCGAAAAGGCTGGCGAGGACCCCCGGCGTCATGTTCAGCAGCGTTTGGCGGTGTTCTTCCTGCAAAGAGGGGGCGCGAGTGCACGCGCGAGGGGGGAAATCGAGCCATTGAATCTTGTCAAGCCCATTTCCCTGCTCACCGGAATTTTTTTGTCACCAATCGCCCGCGAGGTATAAGGCTGAGTCTTACGGCGTGATTATTTCTGAGATTTTTTTTTTCTCTCGGGGGGGGGGGGGGGGCC